CGATTTGGATGAATGTTGGAGGTGCCAAGAATTATTGTGTCCCCACGTTCGGATGTTAGCAAATTTGTATCTCATAAGTATACCTTTAAGCTATGGTTTTAGAGATTATTTGAAATGTTTAGCGGATTGTTAGTCTCCTAAATATTATCTTAGATAGTAGTTGCGAATTTTATCACTTCTTTATCTCCAAAATAGTATATTGAGTATCTATTTTCGAATTTTACCAAATTTATGTCTCCTAGATATTGTTTTACAGATAGTGTTCGAGTGTCTTATATATAAGGGAACGAAACGCGAGGGCAACTCATCAAACCCTGATGTGATAGTTGTAATTTTTTCTTATAGCTAAAAGAACGAAACGCTCAGGCAACCCTAAGAAATCCTAATGTCATATTTGTAATTTTTTTTTTTATTATTTTCGTTTTTTATCAAATTTATCTCCTAAATATTATTTTAGATTTTTATCTACAAAATATTATTTTTGATTTGTATCAGATGTTTATCTCCCAAATATTATATTCGATTTTTATCAAATTTTTATCTCATAAATATTATTTTAAATATTATTTTTGATTTGTATCAATTTGTTATCTCTTAAACATTATTTTAATTATTATTTTCGAATTTTATCAAATTTATATCTCCTAAATATAGTTTAAATATTATTTTGATTTTTAGCAGATTTTTATAATTTAAATATTATTTTCGATTTTTATCAAATCTTTTTCTCCTAAATATTATTTTAAATATTATTTTCGAATTTTATCAAATTTATATCTCCTAAATATTATTTTAAATATTGTTTTCGAGTTTTATAAAAAAATTATCTCCTAAATATTATTTTTCAATTTTTATCAAATTTTTGTCTCATAAATATTATTTTCGATTTTGATCAAATTTTTATCTCCTAAATATTATTTTAACTAATATTTTTGATTTTTATCATATTTTTATCTCCTAAATATTATTTTAATTATTATTTTCGTATTTTATCAACTTTTATCTTATTAACATTATTTTAAATATTATTTTCGATTTTTATCAAATTTCCCCTTCCCCGATTTTCATTAAATTTTTATCTCCTAAATATTATTTTCGATTTTTATCTCCTTAATATTATTTTCAATTTTTATCATTTTTTTATGCCTGAACTTGCCAAATCACTCATATTTTCAGCCATAGATATCTCTAATGCACAAACAATTAAATCTCCTAAATATTATTTTATCTCCTAATTTTCAGTCATAAACATCTGAACACTAAATATTATTTTTTGATGATAAAATACTAATTATCGTATTCCCAAAGATGGACGATTCCCAAAGACTTTCCCTTAAGATTCTTAACACTTTAACTTCTCTCTTCTACTTCAACACGTTTGTGTT